GGGGGGGGTCGTGGCCTCTTGGGGCTTACGGTGGCGTCCTAAGTCTCTGTGCCTTGTCTCTCTCTGCTGCAGCCTGTCGCGGCCGTTACCCGAGGGTGAGGTGTTGTATACCGTAGGATAACTGCTGTGTTGTCCCTTCCCTTGTCGAAACGATGGTGAGGCAGAGATGGCACCGTTTGTGGGGGTCATGTGCTACACCGCAAGTAAGAGCCATGCTTCTCTGACCACAACGATCGTGTTCGACACAAGAACCCCCCCCCCCCCCCCCCCCCCCCCCCCCCCCCCCCCCCCCCCCCCCNCCAGTGATATGTAACGTTTCGACTTGTACAAATTTTCACAAATGCAATTGTACTCGCGGGGGTGTCTGCTGTTGTGGGGGCAGGGTGGCATCTTTCGTCGCCCTGTTTGTTGGATCAGAGAGTAGTTTTACATTTCGGGCTCGTGTTGACCCGACAATGTAACCACGACCGGGTTGTTCGAGGGGTGGCGTCATCTTGTGTAGTGTGTGTAGCAGTCGAAGGCCCTCTGTAAGGCGGGTATGCGCCAGACTGATTCACCCGCCCTACAGTACACAGGGCACTCGCCTAACTCAATGTGTAGAACAACTTGATTATTCCGTATGTTGCGGCCAGTTTTTCCCGCCTTGTAGAGGGTCTACGGCTGTACCTGGGGTAAACCTAAGCGGACCGCCTTCGCTGGAAATTCAGTATCATAATATGGAAATGGAACAGGGAGGGGTTACGCAGACCTTATTCCCTTACCCTTACCCTAACCCTAACCCAACTTCCCCGATTGTATCCTTTATCCAACATGTTTCCTGAATACGAAACACGCTGCGAGGCCACTGCCCGTAAGCCTTTGCTTTCCTCTGTTGGTGATGGATGCCTCTTCCTCTCTTGCGGACCGCAGGTGACGAAAGGCCGCAACGCGCCCAACCTCCAGCGCTTCCTCTACCTGAGCCCCACCAACAAGCAGGTGGTGTGGGCCACGAAGGCGACTTCGAAGGGCAAGCTTAGCAAGAAGGGTCTCACGCTGGACGGTATTACTGAGCTGCACAGCGAGCACGACGGGATCCGGGTGGAAGCGGTGAGCATTTTGCGGGGGCCCCTCTCCTTGGTGGGAAAGAAGCTTTATCCGACCACAAGAATTTTCTGTATCTTCTCGCTGCCTGTTTCTTTTCATGTCTCTGCAGGATTCGTGGCCTATCGATTGTCGACATGAGCCATGATTGCACGTGGCGAATTGTTGGGCGGAGGGGGGAGGGGGTTTGCCGGTCTGTTTCGTGAAGTACGAAGTAGGTCATTGTCTTAGTCTTCCCATAGTCAGCCTGGACAGGTGGTTGGTGATACGGTTGCGTTCTACCTTGTAATTGTGTGAAAGCGACACTCGCGATAAAAACTACCTACCTCGGTATTCCGTACCGTGGAAAGCAAGACACAAACGCTACCGTTTGGCGTGCTGTTGGTCAAGTGCTCTTGTCTGATGTCTGATGTGGGGGGGCACGCAGCAAATGTTTACTGGGGGCCCCGGTGATGCTTGCTTGATCCGTTCACCTGTCCACCGAGCGTGAGCCTTCCGCGGGTTCCAATAGATCTCATGCATGCTTTCATGCAGCCGTAGCATGCAGGCGTTCCTGGGCATTAATCTCACCCTACCGCACTTCCTCTTTCAGTTTCGGCGCGGCCAGGTGCCGGTTTTTAATTCCTGGGTAAATGTTGGCAGTGGGATTAGGCGAAGTTTGGATTGAGTCCGTTTGTCTCAGGGCCGACCTATCAATCGAACAGTGTGCGTTCCCATGTGTCATGCTGTTGCTGTTGCTGCTGATTCTAATGCTGATGCTGCTGATGATGCTGCTTCTGCTGCGTCTTGTTCTGCTGGTCTCCTCACGATCGACCCGGCCTGTCCTTTACAGAGGGGAGAGTCGTCGCCCCTTGTCCTTAAGAGCGCGGCCGTGGACACGCTGACGTCGGAGGGTGCCACGATTCTGCTGGGAGTGCTGCTGGCAGACATGACGGGCACCATGCTCAGGCTCCAGGGGATCAGCGGGGGGGACGGCAGCTGCTACTACCCGGCATCTTTTGTTGAGGACGTGCTAGCGTAAGAGTCTGCTTTTTATTAGGTTGGAGAGATTCATTCGCACCCGGTCTTCCCCCTGGAATTCTTGCAGTCGCGAACGAGTCGTGCCCGTTTGTCTAGCGTCGTTGCGGCGGTGTGAGCTTCTCCTGTGTCCGCCTCGGCTCCCTCCTCAGGCTGCTGGTATGGCGCTCGCTTCCATGTTTTTTGTTGTGTACCGTAGAGGTGGAGCGAACACGCCAGGTGTGCGAGCGAGCGAGTTTTTGGATCTCGGTTGTTCCACAACCCAAAGAGAGGCTTGTCAATGCCAAAAGCGGTGTTTTGGGCAAAAATCTCGTCGAGAGCTTATCCTAACACACGTGTCTCGGACAGGCTTGGCACCCCCTTATTTGGTTACGAAGCCCTTGACCTGCTGTTGCTCACACCGCGTGCGTGCGTTGGCTGTGTAGTCCCTCATCAACAGCCTCGGTATGCTCGACCTTGTCTGTTGCCGCTGGTGCAGAGTGCGGCGAGCCCGGATGGAAAAGAACGCCGCCCTCGCAGCTGCTGCAACTACACCGCGCCAGGTACAGTAGCGGCTACGGTTTTACGAGAGATTATTTTAGAGAGTAAGAATAGCTCATCGCCGTACGGTCAGAGAGAGATAGTCAAGACACCTTCGGATGTTGGAGAGTAAACTGGCTCGTCTGCGGCATCAGAAATGCGTGGTATATTTGATAGTGGTGCGGCCTCAGAAAATCACCTTGAATCTGTCTCCTGCAGCGTTCCACGTGATGCGGTGAAGAGCGCACACACGCGCGCACCGGACGGACTTCTCACGGCTCGACTGCTCCGTGGCGAAGAAGTTAGCCGCCGAAAATATGCTGTAAAATGATGTGTCGAGGGAGATGTCTCCCCGAGACCTTCGCTTTCCCTCATCGGCCGGTGTCCGCACCCCCTCGGTCATGGCGTGCGACTGACATTGCTTACCGCTTGGTCGTGCAGTGATCAAGCTTTAAAAGTCTGTCTAAACCTGGAGGCAGCGTCGGCGGTGCTGGCGTTGAAATCCTGGATGTCGGCGCCATGTGCAGGGAGTTCAACTAACCTCTTGCTGGGCTCCATCATCTATGCTACGACGGAAGTCGTCGGTTGGGGATTCTTTGCCTCATGGCTGATACTGTTATTCTTTGCCTCACGCTACGTCCAGGTGTTTCTGTTCACGTTGTTCGATTCGTGGCGATACTGTAGCGAGCGATGCGTCGGTAGCATCTGAAGTGCACAGCTTCTACCGTAGGTTGCATGACGTAAGATATCGCACCCCCTGGGCCGATTTTCAAAGCTTGATTACTCCACGACGAAGAGGATGCCGAAATCAAAGCATACGTTTTCGGAAACTTCTCGGTGAGACGGCTCCAACGCCACCATTTTCAGCACCGTCATTGATTTTCGTGCCGAACAATACTCGAGCTTCAAAAGCCGCCCAGGGTGGCGTATCTCACGTGTGACAACTCCAAGCGCGGTGCAGCGGGTGATGGCACACACCACATTCCGACCACGAACATACACGATGCTAAGCTAAAAAAAAAAACTGTAAACACTGCTGCTGCCGTACAGGGTGAAAATCTCGGTAGGAGGTAGGTTCTTGTCATCGTCGGTGTCAGAGGATGTACGACATGGTGTCCATGTCGTACCTACGGTATCGTAGTCCGCTACTGGCAGTATGGCAGCAGTACCTGGTGCTCCCTGGCAGCAGGAAGAACGCTCCACGAGCAGCCAAGGGCAGCGGCCTGGTGGCCGGTTTCCGCTCATGCCACCGGCTGATGCCCTTGGCTGCTCGTGGAGCGTTCTTCCTGTCAGGGGGCAATAGGTACTGCCATACGCAGCGCTCATGATGTGAAATTGAAATGGACGTACAGAACCCTACACACCGAACAACAAAGATTCAGCATCAGCGACGAGGCAAAGAATCCCAAACCAACGACGTTCGTCATCGTAGCATAGGGTGTGCGATCACCCGTAAGTTTCTCCGACCCATTTATTTTCGCGCCGTGTCTGTCGGTTCCAACATCGCCTCCTTTGACCGCTCCACACAGGCAACATCAATAATTTCCAATCAATCCAGCAGCGGCAGCAACGGAGGGGGACCCTCATCGGCGAAACAGCCCGCCGAGGCTGCTGCTACTACCGCCGCCCAAGCACAACGGCCGGCGGCGAAGGCGTTGACGACATTCTCGTCTTCGCAGCAGCAGCAACAGCAGCAGCAGCAAGACCAGGACCGTGCGCCGAGCTCCTCGAACGGCTCACGAGCAGTAGCAGCCGTCGCGGCGTCGACCCCCTGCAAGGAGAAAGTGACCGCCCGCGCTGCCCCCGTGGGAAACGCCTCCTCCGAGACGTCCTCGGCTCCTCCAAAAGGGTCGTCGGTTGCCCCGAAAGATTCGCCTGCTGCTGCTGCTGCTGCTGCTGCTCCTGCTGCTGTTGCCAAGCCGGTGTCGGTGGCTTCGGAGTGGCGCGCGGCCGAGAGAGCGGTGTCCGCCACTGCAGGCGGCGGCGGTGGTAAGAGCCCGCGTTCCGGGGTGGCCGCGTCGTACATGGCCCACCTGAGCAAGGCGAGCCAGAAGACCCTCAGGCACGCCAACAGCAGCAGCAACAACGCCGCGTCCACGACGAACTCGTCCGCCACGCCCAGCGCGGCCAGCCTCACCTACTCGGACTCCGGCGAGAGCGACGACGAGAAGGATGCTGGGCGTGCGGCCGCCGCCGCGGCCGCCGCCGCCGGCGACGGTGGGCGTGCCCCGCCCCCCCGGTCGTCGTCGTCTTCCGGCCTTGCGGAGCCGTCTAGGACTGCGAGCTCGTACCCCGGTAAGCCGGAGATAGCCACATCCATAGCCATGTCCGCCGAGGACGAGGATGCGGACTGCCCGCTCCCAAAGGAAGGAGCGGCGCCGGCGGTGGCGAAGGAGGACAAGGGTGCCGTGGCCGCCGCCGCCACCCCTAACGCTGCCGCTGCCGCTGCCGCGAGCGCGGCCTTAGCTGCGGAGACGACGGCAGATGCCGGGGTGCCCGAAGCAGCTACTACTGCTGTTGTTGAGACCGAGAAGGCTAGTCGGCCGGTCGTGGACGAGCCTGCTGCGGCTGTGGCGGAGGAGCCTGCGGCAGAGGAGGAGGACGAGGAAGAGGACGAGGAGACGAGAGAGTACAGGAGTGTGCTGACGGAGATGCTACGGCCCGTCAAGATGGAGAAGTATGTGGAGAGCTTCCTCGGGTCAGGGATCACCCTCGACATCCTCCCCCTGGTGAGCTGGCCGATCCTTGTCTTGTGGTTTCTTGCTGTGTTTCCCGGTTCCACGGCGAGAGCGGGCCACCAACAATTGTTGCAAAGCCCTCCACACTTGGTTCGTGACCACGTGACGCTGCATGATAGTGTGCATGATGGTTAGTCTGCCGCACAACATCTGTTTTTTGACGAGAGGTCAAGAGTGTCTGGCACGTCACGACGGCAGTCACTAGCTAACACGGCCTGTTTCAGGCGAGTCGCCAGAGGAACACAGAGGGTTTGACGGCCGTGAGAGAGACAAATATAAGAAGAAACGGAAGAACGCGTTTGGTGGTGTACCATCTGGACATGTTTTGGTGCAGTACTCGCGCTGAAACGAACGCCTAACCAGGCATCGATGACTTGGAAAGCCTGCCCGCCTGACACACACACCCTCGATATTTACGTGACTCAGGTGGAGCGGGGGGACCTGCAGACAGAGGTGGGAATTACGGGAGCCGTTCCTCAGCTGAAGATCATGAAGGCGATCAAGACAAGGTTTCCTGACGGTTTCTGACGGTTAGCTACCGTTGTTGTTGTTTGTTTGTGTGTGATAAGGAACCCTTTGTGACTGGGGTGGTGATGGTGTCCTATTATCAAGGAGTCGACCGGGGATTGGTCTACCCAACCTGTTCGGGATTACGACGGTTAGGTGGGGGGAAAAATCGGTACACTCGGGGAGTGTCCGGATTAGGGTCGGCGGGTGGCGAGGGCAAAGGAAGAGGGGGGTACAGGAGGGTTAGAGTTGTCGTAGCCCCGGCTGCAACCGAGTATCAGTACGATTTAGGATGGCAACCAAGAAGTAGTTCATTTGGCTTGACCTTGCGGGAGAGCCCTGCGTGGTAGCATCAGTTTTTCTGCCCCGAAGCATGGCGGCGAGGCGACTTCACAACCGGGGGTAGCTGGTAAGCACGGCAACTGGCGAGAGCGGAGGGGACTGACGCCAAGGCCGATGTCGCTCGCAAGGTGATGGCTGCCGCCTAGCTATTACGAAACCAGCAGCACCACCAGAGCTGCTAGGGTGGTTCCGGTAGCATCCGCTGCGCCCTCCCGTGCGTTTGGATGGGGAAAGGAGCGGTGAGGAGCATGAAAGGATAAACTTGGTCATATATTTACTTGGCGTTGTTCGATAAGAAGTTGATAGGGCGGGAGTCGACGAAGAAGAAGGTGGCTATGGCTTGGATCTGTCGTTTTGTCGCAGCGTCCTTTTTGTGCCAAAAGGAGGAAAGAAAGGTTGAATTGAGAAGTGTTGTCGGTGTTTTATTTTTGCTATATAAAGAGGTGGGTACGTCCGGCAGTCGGGAGCGCGGTTGGACCACACGCGTTAGCGAGACTCTTACTGGTGCCTTCTTTTGTTGTGTCTGGGCGAAGTTTGATGTACATTTTCTTTCTTCACACGACGAGGCACGATAACCCTGCATCACCTGGTAGTACATGAATGTAGGTGGAAGCTTGTCGCAACCAGGCGCATGCATTGTAGTAGGACGGGCGCATACACGTCCCGGTCTTGCTATCTTGTTCTTCTCTGTCCAATTTCCTCTCTGGCGTGATGGAATGGGTTTTCGGAATTGTTCCTCCAATCACCTGGTAGCAGTAGGTGGCGGCTTAAGCTTGGCACAACCAGGTGTGCGTAGTGGTATGCAGATGTAGGACGGGCGAATGAATGTACGTCGCGGTCTTACGTGTTTAATTTTCCATTCAATTTTCCTCTCTGGCGTGGTGGGATGGGTTTTCTGAAATTGGTCCTCCAATCACCTGGTAGTAGTAGGTAGAAGCTTAAGCTTGGCACAACCAGGTGTGCGTAGTGATATGCAGATGGACGGGCGAATGAATGTACGTCCCGGTCGTGTACTATGTCTTTAATTTTCCATTCAATTTTCCTCTCTGGCGTGGCGGGATGGGTTGTCTGATAGCTGTCGTTCCCCACGTGTCGGGAGTCTAGACGCCGCACTCGAAAAGAGGGGGGAGGGTGGGGTCATCGAGCTTCTGGGGTCTGTAAAGCCAGAACGCAACCGATTTGATCCTGTCGAGATGCGTCGCTGCGGGGGGGCATGGTTTCGGTTGATCAACATCGCCAATTTTAAGCGAACTTGGCTGGTCGGGCGGTTTATTTTCGGGACGACACTCGCTGTGGTCGTCCATTGCCTATGGGGCCCCGCGCGTGCTCTCCCCCCCCCCCCCCCCCCCCCCCCCCCCCCCCCCCCCCCCCCCCCCNTTTCGGAATGTACGCCTGTTGTTGCATGTTCCTTTTGGCCGGTTGAAGAGTTTTCGATCAACGTGGAGAGCTAGCTGTCTGCTTTTGTGCTGTTGTTGCCCCCTACGGTGCGCAGGCAACGGCAGCGGCACGCACAGAGCAGCGACCCGGCACTTGAAAACGTTTTGAGCACCTGGCTGGGCGTCTCACTGGGTGAAATACTCTCTTCTCTTAGGTCAGTTTGTATGTAATGTCGACTTAATTTTGCGAGCAGATTGCATCTACATTGTCTCCTATTCCCCGCGGTCGTTTAGCGGTAAAGTGGTAATTGTCAAGGACCCGCCCACAGGCATCTTGATTGATTTTTCTTTGGAGTCAGGGTATTTACCCAATAAAATACATACCATTCGGAAGCTACGGACCAGGGCTTTCGAATGAACCTACTTTGAGCTTTCACAGACATGTTGGTCATGAGTTATGTCCAATATACCGTTTCGCCGAAAACGCGGCGGAACTAGTAAATCTCGATTTCCCGGCCCCCACCACCTCTGTGAAAAAAAGAATAATATTTTTTTGGAATCGTCGCCAAGAGTTGGTTCTAGATCACCTAGTTCTGAACCCGGTTTTGCCGGGCTCCAGGTCGAAATCAATCAAGAAGAAAATTTCAAAAAAATACGCGGCCCTGTCTCATGCTTCCTAAGTACCACTGCGAGTGTAAACCCGTCGAACTTGTTTGGGGACGGGCGAAGGAGTGGACTCGCAAGAATTGCACGTATTCGTTGGAATGCTTGCGCAATAACGTGCCGCTAAGTTTTAGAGCAGAGAAGGATAGGCAGGCTGTTCCAGTAGTCCAGGGCTACTGCAAGAAAGAAGGCATACACACACGCCCTCATGTACCGCGAGACTCGTGTGGAAGGGCCTGAAGGCAAGAAGACGCACAAGAAATACAAGTCACACAGGCGCCCGACCCCGAAGGAATGGAGACAGTAGATGGATGGCGCATTCTTGTTCGTCGAGGTGAACTTTTTCAGGTTCTTCCCCATATTTTCTGGAGGGAAGGTTGTCCAAAAAAAGGATGTTTTTGTTGAAAATAGGCTTAATTTACAACGGAAGTACGTTGCCGGGTGATATAAACACGCTATAGGCGCGGCAGAGGCATATGTGAAGTGGTTAGGGGTCTTCCGGTACACGTGCATGTAGGTGGTTTGGCGAGAAAAATATTAATCCGCTGTAAGAAAATATATGGGTGAAAAGCTGCTCTAGGGCCTAGGTCAAGGGTTCGAGGCCCGCCGCGAGCACTTTTTTTTTTCTTATTATTGCTGGCGACTCGCTACTACTCTTTTGCGCCTTGCTGCGGGCGTTCCAAAACTGTATTTCTTTTTTATTCGACCTCAGTCAAAAGTTATGGAGGGACAACCAAAATCGGGTCCTTGACAATTACCACTTTATGTATGTGTGTGTGGGTCCTCAGCGAGCGAGCGGGGCGCGATGGGAGAAGGCCCGGGGCTTGATTGATGCGATGTAGCACGGTAGACTGTTGGTCAATGTTTCCCTCCTCCATTGAGATGTGGGAATAATTTGAACGGTTATGTTGGTTCCTCTCGAGCGACATAAAGGGGGCCTTCCGGGGTATGCCGAAGTGAGGTTGAGAATGGAGTTGTTGCCAAACAGCCTACGCTCTGAAAAGTCAACTGTGGGTTGCTCTGGGTGTGTACATGCGATATCCGGTCTCAGATTTTTTATCCGGGGTCGGGAAGGTGGGTTTTCAGCGAAATTTTTCGATTTATCTTACTCAATGTATAGGAAAAAGCGAAGCCGGGGACACGAAAATTCCGTCCCCCCCCGGGGACAAAACGGGGATTTACCCATAGCTTGGCCTATTTGAGTGCTTTTTTGACCACTGTTCCGGAAACAAAATCCTACAGCTTGTTCCGAATGTATAGGAAAAAGCGATACAGGGGACACGAAAATTACGTCCCCCCACCAGAAAATAAATTAATTCA